TTAATGATTGATATTCTTTTCATAACAAACATTACTCTTCTCATATTGTATCATTCCTGAAAATTATGAACTACGCTATTTTACAATTCCTGAATTCCAGAATTTGAGATTTTTAGAGGGTTCATATTTACCTCCTCCTTTATCTCTTTCATAGTGTTGATTTTTGTTTGAGATAAAATTTCTTCACAATTTCCTTCCCTCCCTTTCACCATCTACTTAAATTTTTCTGTCTCAAAACACCGATTTTGATACAAATTGCTTAGCTTAAAATTTTTGAAAGCGATGTTGTTAGTATATATCAGTACAGACATATGTGTGTTTATATGTATGCATGTATATGTATGCAAGTATATGTGTGTATGTGTGTGTATGTGTGTGTCCGTTATTTCTTATATATGTAATTGCTGTACATACATTATCAGCAAACATTCTGCACTCAAAACGGCGTACGTAAAATTGGCAATCATGCATAAAATTGCGATCATCGTCGTTATTACCGTCGGGGTGGGTGTCAATGGGTAACATTCCTCTAAAAATGCACTGAAATTTGGTGATTGACTGCAAAATTGCAATTTCATTACAAAAATTTTAATGATAATAAGAAATTTGTTATTGTTATTACTATTAATTATTTAAAACTACTATCGATTTCTTTCTTATTATACTTCTTATAAATCACTTTTGTTAACGATAAAAATCAATTATTCACTCATTTTTGTTATTTTATCCCTTTAATCATTTGGTGTTTTCATAAGTTTTTATCGTTGTAATGGAACAAAACCAGTAAATGTTAATTATTATTTGTTAAAAATGAAATTAGTATCGCATGAAGAATTTATGTTGAAAGAACCCATATAACTGCCATATATTGAATTGCAGAAATTTTCTTTGAATTGATTGAATTTCAATTAAAGACAATGCTTCTGTCTTTGCAGGTTGCATGTTTCGACATTTTCCACTGTCACATATGTAGATGATGATTTCGAGCACTTTTAATTCCGGTTTTTCTTTTTCTTTTTTGCTATGTTTTCTCAGAAAAATATTTTCGGTAGGTTGATGATGAAAGACTGAAGGACTACATAATCTTAGTTTTCTGGACATGTATGAATTGTCTATATTTTGCTGATTGAGAAAATTTTTCTGGGTCAAAATAATCCGGTTATTTTGTTAAGTGATGTTAGAGATAATGCAAACAAGATATTTCGATTTTCTACTCTGTTCTTTTTCTTCAACATCTTCACTGGATTTATTTTCATTTGAAAAAGAATTAGTTTCGAGCTACAAGTTTTTACCTCTGATAATTTCTAGCGAACAGCTGGATTGTTATTGAAGATTAAAAGTAGGAAAAAGTTTGCCAAAGAAATTCATGCAGCATAGAATCCTTATGAACACTTTTAACTCTTACTTATTTTGTTAATCGATGATTGAAAAATAAACCATTTTAAATAAGCTGTCTTTAACGATAGAATAATTTGAACTCATTAAAGAATATGTAAATCATTTAATCATAAAATATCACTATTATGCGATTTGCAAAATATGTGCAATTTGGTCACCACTTGCTAGATTTAATTATGAGAACTAATTATTGATCAAATAGGATATATTTCGAGATTTTATAACTTTACTCAACATTTTGATAATTAACATTTGAACATTGTGCTTTAAAGGCAGCTATTTCCTAGTTTCAGTTAACTGGATTTGCGAATTATTTTTCTTGATTTAACGATTTAAAAAATCATGAATCACAACTCTTATAAAGTTTTAGTTTTCTGATGTTCCAAATGAAGTGGTAATTATTAACTAGATAAAATGTTATTTATATTGAAATTACCATTTTTAATTCGAATTCCATAATTTAGATTAAAATATCTACTACAATATTTGACGTAAAACATTCTTATATTACTTTTTAGAAGCTGAACATCGATCGATAAACCAGACTTTTCAAGGTGAGGAATATTTAAAAACCACTAAAGTTTTTGGGGTAGACTAATTATTTTTCGTAAACCGTTTCTGAAATTTATTTTTATATTATTATGCCCTTTTATTTGTATAACCTTTTTCCCTTTCAGCTTTCGAAATTTGAATGTTTTGTGTGTTTTCACTCAACTTCTCACATTACACACTTAATGTAATTACAATAATTATTATGAATGCTTTTCCATTTTATCAAAATATTTGCATTGAATTGACGTAGGATTATAAATTTATACTATTTAATCTATTAGAACTTGATTTTCTGAATTCAATTAAAATTCAACTTTTAAACTGTTTCATTGTAATTGTCGTAAATTAATTTGTTTTAATTATTGCTTTCAATAAATATGTTTTCTCTATGGCATAAATTGAACAGGAAATTTTGACAAAATAAGCTTAGGACTTAATGTCAGTTTGAAATTTGAATATTTCAAGATTTCGTGCAAATATTTTGAAGTGGTTCTTCAGAGATAGATTTCATGGTGAAGTCATTTAGAAGGCATGATCAAAAATCAAATTTAACAATTTACCATTTCTTAATGGTGTCTATTTAAGGATATATACTGCTAATTAATCTTTTGTCTGGTTAAATAGTCGAGAATAATTGCTTAACTGATGTACATTTTTTGTTTGTCTCAACTGAAATTTTATTTATTTCACTGATTTACAAAGCAAATCATGCTGGAATGGACGTAATATGGATTAAATGACTTAAAATTTTAGATAAATGAAATCTTTCCTAAGAAAATTGGAGATAAGAGAAAAAAATGATAAAATAATTGAATGTTATTTTATCATTTTGCAATCCAAAATGAATGCACAAACAATATCACTGTTGATCTGTATCAATTCAATGCTTTTACAACAATGTTAATTAATTATGAGATTAGCAAGCGAGTAAGGCATTATTTTCTCCGCCATTTTTAGGATGTCCGAAGAATATAATCGGGAATGAAGCGATTGAAAGGCAATTTTGATAGGGAAGACCAGATAAGGTTAAGAATAACGATTCGAATATTGTAAATGATGGATTGTGCATTGTTGTCGGTCATCATTCTTTCCGTCGAAAGAGAGAATGTTATCTAAGTCAACTTCTTGTAACACATTATTTTTAATTAGGTCAAATTTTGCATATTTGTATGATTTTGATTTTAAATTTAATTTTCCATTCAATAATGGTGTATTTTTTGAAATAACATAATTTTTCAAAAATTTTAAATTAAGAGAGTACTTGTGGCGTTAAATTTTTGTCAATTGCAAACTTTCATAATGCTACAAACTTTATTTGGATAATTTAAATTGGCAGATAATTTTAGTGTTGATTGAATTAATTTCGTCTGAAAATCTAATATATAACGATCTGACTTTATTTGTTTTCAAATGAACATATCAATCATATTTTTCTTTTTTAAATAAACAATCAATTATATTATTTTGTTTCTCATGCAAAAATGATTAACAGTTTAAAAAAATATATATATGATAAATGGTTTTCCTCAAATTTGCAACAATTATACTTTCTTGGATATTATTTTTTTTTCGTATTTTGTATTCAAAATGGGGTAAATGCATTTCATGTTATCTTCAAAAAGAGAAAAATATTCACAGAATTAAATTATAATTTTCTATCGCAAAAATAATGCTTGCATCAACAGTTCAAATTTGTGAATTTTTTAACCAATGCTTAATCATGCTTTGAAATTAGAAGTCAGTTTCTATCCCATTTAGCTCTCTTATGATACTAAAAAAATGAATTTCAGTATTTTTGTAACGGATCGTTTTTCTTCAAGAAATCTTCGACGAGCTTAAAATAGGCGTAATGAAAAATGACCGTTTGAATTGGAAGTATAGTGATAAAAGTAAGAATTACGATATCATGACGAAAATAATTGCCATTTGTCACATGTTATATATTAAAAGCTGAAAAGCAGTAGTTAATATGACTTATATTTGTGAAATTATTGAATTGATACTGGCTTGATACGGTTCGTTAACCCCGTTATTCGTCGAAGAGTACGTCTTATCGAAACAGATGGAGGAATGAACTCTGTTTGAATTAAGAACAACAGATGTATCAGTGTTATCCACTTACCAATTTTTCCTCTTTCATTATTTTTATACTATATGGTAATAGGAATATAATGCAATTAAGAAAATGAATATTTGAAAAATTAATTCATCGTATAAAAGAGAAATTTCGAGAGATATTTTAACATTGAAATGTTTTGTAATCGGAAATGATTGCACCGTGATTTTTTTTTAATCAAGATGATTTCAAAAAATTTTATTACTGGCAGGAAATTCACTTTAATCCCCTTTCCCTGGCTTTATTAATTGTAAAATTTTCGCTAATTCTCAAAGCACAACAACTATTGTTCAGAAATTGTTCAGAGATTGGATTCATGCATTATTCACATTAAAATATAAAATAATAGTTATAAGCGCCACATTATTTTCGATTTTTTAAATTTAAAGCCTCGTTTTTCCAATTTGCGGCAATAATTCTTCAGATATTCTTAATGAATAATACCATTAATGTTGTCAGCTTGACGATTTAATTTCTCGGACATTTACATTTGTTGTACAATGAATAATTTGACTATTAAATATAACAAAATAAAAAACTTGAAATTAAATTGAAAAAAAACGATATCGCTGTTGACTTGATGATGTTAAGATTTCTTTCTCCCTATGTATGCTGAAATAAATTGTAAATATTTCCATTTTATTGCTAAAAAATGAGTTCCTGCAAGATTTTTCTTGCACAATTTATTGTGTTTCGATGTACGCTTGACCTTGTGCCATGTTCATTTCATGTTTTCCTTCGTGTCACAGCAAATGTCATCCAGCCACTCACCTCGTCAACATACACACAGAGATCGTATTTCTTGTTCTTCTCTTCCCCTCTCCTTCTTTTTCTCTGCCTCTTTTCTTCTCTCTCTTTCTATTTGGAAAGAGCGAAAAGCGATTTACCTCTAGCCAGCTTTGTTTACTAATTCATTTTGCTTTCAGAATTAAATATGGTACCAAATTTTCGTTCCTATTTATTTGCCTGGTTCTTGACAATTTTATCAGGTATTTCAAGAATTTTTCCATTGTTCTTACGAAATTATTCAATTGTTCAAATAATCAAAGAAGATGACAGCATCTTTTTTTGATAATTGTAATTATTAAATCATAAAATATTTTTATGAATACCTCTAATTGCTTCTCTATTTGATCAAAAGTGAAGAAATCAGCTCTAGGAATATCATCAATTGAAGACATTTTTTCAATCGAAGACACAACAAGTTCATTTCAGGTGCACGAGCTGATTCTAACTTAACGATTAATTCTTATGATCCTGAATATGGGGTATATATTGGCGAATTGCCAGATCCATCAGATGCAAACATTAAAGGACGAGTTTATATCGTAAATGAAACAACTTTACAAGTCATCAATTTTACTTATAATGGCAAAGCGCCAGGTGAGCTAAATTTCAGTGCATGTCTTAAAATTACTATCATTCTGGAACTGAATTTATTTCCATTTCTGTAATTCATCTATGCTTTTAAAAATTTCTAATTTAAAACGAAAAATCAGATAAATTTTCATCAATACTTCTCATCGGTTTTTGGCTTCATTGTTGATTTTAATCGTGCGAATGTATTTTCGCAAAAGAATGTAGCTTGAAAAATTAAGACTTAAAAAGAATTGATTAGAAGCGAAGCTTTTTGAACGCGGTATTTAAAAATGAATATTGATATTTTCCAATGATAGCTTCAAAATTGGGTCAGTCCGAAATCTACATTAATGAAAGAATTAAGTGGATGAATTCATGCGTTTAAATAAATGAATGATCAGCGGTGATGAATGAGAGAGAGAGAGAAAAAGGACCTCAGTTGACCTTCTGCGGTACGAATATAAAAGCTTATTTTAATTTTTGTCCGAAATTATCGCGTTTGATTTTATTAATTTGCAATTTTTTAATATTCATTCAGAAATTCAGTCTGTATTCCTTTATTATGCATATATTCATTATTAACTCACTGTAATTGCCATTTTAATTGCACATTAATCACATCATTGTTATTCAACTAATACTTGTTCATATGTTAATTCTGAAATACTTTAAAAGATACCGCAGTATGTAAATATGATGCAGCAGTTTCTGAGATTTCAAATTCCCGATCTACAGAATTATGACGATGGTTCAGGTGGAAATTGAAATTTCTGATTTTATCAATAGGGAATCCTCGAATAAAGTTGCCGGACATAAATTGATCATAATATCACAAAATGATATATTTTTAAGATTTATTCATTATTTGGATTTGAAGTGAACTGTTTCCCAATATTCGAATGAACAAAAAATTTTGGATCTCAATTCAAAAAATGCATAAGTTTCGCTAAATTCATGGTCTTTGTGACATAGTGATTTTTGATTTGTATGTAAAAGAATAATGTCATTTCTGCATTTATTATTCAATTATTCTTCTCAACCAAATATTTATCATCAATGTAGTCAATTAAGAAAATAAAAGTGAGAAATGACCTAACAACTTTATTCTATTTCTGTCCCTAAATTATTTTGACCTTCCAATACGATTAATAAGATACAATACACTTCCAGAAAAGTCCATTCTTTCTTTGCTTTTTCATGTTTGGCGGCAAGTGAGAAGATATAAAAGGCTTGCAAGATTTTCTCGGTTAAGAGCATCATACATTCCTAATCTACTTTATTCTTTTTCTTATAATCCATGATTTTAGCTTAATGCTTAATTTCATCCGTTCTGTTCTCCTCTTTTTTTGATCCTTCATTTTCTTATCTAAATTATTGCTTCATATTCGTTGATTGATACTTTTGCTTGTTACAGTTTGCTATTAAAATTTGAAATGGATGAAGTGAGTTTTGAAGTGAAAAATTAGTTCCTTCTGGTTGGGATAATTAAATTTGCTGCTTGCATATCATTTAATTACATAATATTCAATGGCAGGCATGCATTTTGCGGCTTATTTTTGTAAACGTAATCAAAAATCAACTAAAATATCATGCAAAATTAATTCATCTTCAAGATTCTCTCTAAATGATTCAAACGAATAATCAGTCTATAAGTGAAGCATCAAAAATCAATGGGACGGTACTGTTAATAAATTTCGAAAAAAAATTTAGCAATTGCTAAAATCTTAAATTTATTGATTGGCATGTTTTAAATAATTCTCGAATCCTTTGACATCAATGACAAAAAAAATAAAATTCATTCATTTC